TGATCACCAAATAATGTTTAATGCTTTAAACATTATTAATAATGTTTAATAAATATGTGCTGTGGTTTCAATTTTTATAAAAGTAAAAAAAAACCCTCCTTTTTAGCTGTGTAAATGGATTTAAGGGGATTGAGGAAATCAAGAGAAGTAGGAAATTTCTTACAGAAACAGGAGAGAGGATGGGACATAAAGAATGAAAACAGTATCTCTAGAGTGCAGTTTCTTACAGAAAATGGCAAAGGTTCACTAGAGAAATAAGCTTGGATCACATCTGTAAGGACTTGTACCTTGCAGAAAGGAATTAAAAGTTATCCTAGGGGTGACAAAAAGCCACTGAAAAGCCTGGTGGCCTGATTGAATCTGTTTAGTGTTGGTGTGGTAAAATGCACGGGGTGGGAGTAAGACTGTAGATCAGATGGAAGGCGTACTGTGGCAATTAAAGTCAAGAAGTTACAAATGCCTAATTAAGATAGTAGTAGTAGAAAGGAAAAGAAAGCTTGAATTTGAAAGATACTTAAAAGATAAAAAAGAAATAGGATTAGCTGGTGCTGCCATTTGTACTCAAGAAGCAGGTCAGTGTGCAATATGCCCAGTTTAGCACATCTGGTGGAGATGCAAAAAAAAAATGGCAGTTGAAAACATAAATCTGAAATGTAGCAACAAGCTCTTAGAGATTTAGAACGCAAAACATTGGTACAGAAGTGGTAAAGTCTCTCAAATACAACCAATCTCTCAGAGATTATATATAGAAAGAGGAAACTAAAAAGGAGAAGATCAAATTCTTTCATCATTTTAGTTCTAAAGTATTATCTTTCACCAAAATAATTGCAATATTTTCCTAATGGGTTTCACTAGCATCCAGCATATTTCTTTTCAAATACATCTGTCTTACAATCAACAAATTAATATTCTTTTTATAATATCGACTTTCTTAAAAGCCATAAACTTCTATTACCTATAGGTTAACCCCCCACCCCCCATTTTTGATCTTGAAATCTTTTTTCAAGGAAGCTTTTCTTTCTATTGCCCTCTAACATAAAAATTAGTCCCTGTCAAGTTGGTCTTATCATTGTCTTGTCAACGGTTCCTCCTGTCAGTTTTTGGTCATACCATTGACCTAATTTTGTCTACTTTGTCTTCTTCTCTCTGTCGAAACCTTAACTTTTACATGATGCAACTCAGTTCCTTCTCTGTCAAGAATGCTAATTATTGTCTCAAACACATAGTTGACTGTTTTTGTTTTTAAATCAAGAACATGCTAATTAAAGTTTGGAGTAAGTGGTTAAGTGCCCAGTGTGTGATAATTTGTTATGGCAGCCTTAGCAAACTAATCCACCCAGAGAATCTGTCTGCTAGATGCTCTGTGAGAAAACTATTATGAGATTAGGACATGAAGGCCTATAAAGAACTCTGTCCTGGTGCTTCTTGACTCATGGTTCTCTGGTCTAAGGGTTGAAATCCAGGCCATCTTTAGAATCTGTGATTTCCTCCCTCTTCTCTGGGGTCTTACATGTAGAATTACGATGTTTGTACCAAATACAAAGCATGATGATAATTATCTTTTATTAAGACTCTACTATGTTCTTGGTAGTTTATGCTCATTGCCTCATTCAATCCTCATAACAAGCTTTTAAAGTAACCTTTCTGTCTTTTTCTTACAGACAGGGAAAGAGAATCGCAGAGAGGCTAAACGACACACCTAAGATCATACTGCTGTTGTGTGACAGAGCTAACACTTAGGTTCACGTAGATCTGGTCCCAAAGCCCATCGTTCTTTTACTGTAACACACTGCTATTTTCATAATGATATGAAGACAGAATAGCTAAATGTATCAGACCCTCAGATATATCGCCACTCTTTAAGCCTTTAAAATTAGAAATGAACAGTCCTATGTTCCTGGGTTTAGATAATGGGCTCCTGATCAAGGCCCTCAGATGGCAAACATACTGCCTCTAATTTCTTACAGGTTAAATTTGTAAAGTGGCAAAAGGAATTTTTGCATTAACAAATGAATCTCTGTTATAAGAGTATACTTTCTCCTCAATTTCTATAACAATTGTCTCCAAAGGTATAAAACCTACATTTATAATATTTATTTTGCTACACAACATATAATTATTTATTGTCTAGTATACAAACCCCAAAATGGTTATAGAAGATGAAGCTATAAGGTAGCAGTATGTCAATTCTGCTAATAGTGGAATTATCTTTAGGTTAGTTGCTAAGGCCAATTGCTTAGCCTAGATGCTAAAAATATAACAGCTTCAAATCTATAATTTCTTTAGCATTTCCAATATGGTTTGTTTCTGATTGATCAATAATCTCAGAAGTACTTTTCAATCTATGAAAGCTTCAGGGCAAAGGATCATCAGTAACATAGTAGAGAGAGGTTGAAGAAATTTACAAGTATTCCACGGAAAGTACAAATTGAGCGCGTTTCCTTGGGGGATAACATTAATGTCTGATGTTCTAGGCTTATCAAGGAAAACACTAACACAGGATACTTCACCCTCTTTGATATATAATGATTGCTATAGAAATGTCAATGAGATGATCAATAATCATCTCAATTATTTGAGTGATTAATCTTGCTATTTTATAAACCTATGCACTGTTGAAAAATAAAAAAAAATATTTTGAGTAATATAACTCTTTAGATAGTCATCACTAAATTGTATATTTTACTTAACTAAGTTTGAGAAGTATTAATCTTCTATAATCTCTGTGGTAAAAAAAAGTCTACCTCCCCAAAACTAATGGAAAAAATTTTCCTATTTTCTTATTTATCATGTGTTGGGTTAACTCAATCAATTATTGAAAGAATCTGTTAAATATTCTACAGCTAATTATTTCACTTCAATTAATGCTATTAAATGTAAAGCTTAGTAAAAATGATTTGAAATGCTCAGAAATTTCATCTTATTGATATGAGTTTGTGTGAAAATTTTTATTTTTCAAGAGTCTCTTTGAGGTGTATGATTAAAATAAAATACATTATATAGACTTATCTTTTCTAACCAATAAAATGATCCAAAATCCACTATGATAGATAATTGATAATTCTAGCTTCTATGCATAACAAAATATATTTTAATGTATTTTTAAATTATTAAAATTATTAAATAACATATTATATACATATATTATATACATAATAAATAATTGCTATTTTATATATTATACGATACTATGAGACAATACTTTATAATGATACTTATGCTAAAATTATATTATTATAATAATTTACATAATATAAGGTCTTATTTAGTATATAAATAATAGTAAAAATTATTATAAGAAATATTATAAAGATAACAAAAAGCATTATAGAATAAGAATAGTAATAGAGCCATTCTAAATTTAGATGGTCATTTTATAAATTACATATGACTTTACTGATGACAAAGTGCTCTGAAAGAGAAAGTGGCTGAAAGATAAAGATGTATGAACTGAGATTCAAATCAATGATACCAATGAAATAATTTACAATTGCATGTGCTATTAGATCATCCTTCATCTTTTTCAGTAATCTTCCTTAGTGATAAAAAAACTATCTCTTTTATTATACCTCATTTATTAAAAATTAAAATCTTATTGAAGAAGACCCCATTGGCAATTACAGCAACAACAAAAATAAATAAATGGGACATGATCAAGCTAAAAAGCTTCTGCATAGCTAAGGACACAATAATTAAAGCAAACAGACAACCTTCAGAATGGGAAAATATATTGGCCTGTTATTAATCTGACAAAGGGCTGATGACCAGAATCTACAAAAAAACACGAACTAATCAACAAAAAAAAGAGCAAAAACTCCCATTTATCCTTAGGCAAGAGAACAGAACAGAACAGAACAGAAATTTCTCTGAAGAAAACAGACGAATGGCCAGCAAACACATGAAAAAATCTTCATTGTTTCTAATAATCAGAGAAATGTAAATTAAAATCACCTTGATATATCCCCTAACTCCAGTGAGAATAGCCCACATCACAAGGTCCCAGCGCTGCAGATGCTGGTGTGGTGTGCAGAGAAGGAAACACTCTTACACTGTTGGTAGAATTGCAAACTAATACAGCCTCTATGAAAGAAGTATGGAGAATCCTCAAAGACCTAAATTAGACCTACCATTTGATCCTGCAGTCCTATTACTAGGTATCTACCCAGAAGAAAAAAAATCATCTTACTATAAGGATATTTGCACTAGGATGTTAATCACAGCTCAATTCACAATCACCAAGATGTGGACTCAATCCAAGTGCCCATCAACTCATGAATGGATTAATAAACTGTGACATATGTATACCATGGAGTACTATTCAGTCATAAACAAAGATGGAGACTTTACATCTTCTGTATTAACATGGATGGAGTTGAAGAACATTCTCCTTAGTAAAGCATCACAAGAATGGAAAAGCAAGCAAACCAATGTACTCAATACTAATATGAAACTAGGAGGTGAACTACATGCCCACATGAGAGAAAAACATAGTTAAATTCAAGTGTGGGGGAATGGAGGGGGAAATGGCAAGCTCTCAGCTAATGGGTACAATGTAAGGGTGAAGGGCTCAACTACAACTTGGACTTTACCTGGCCAATGCCAATTAACCTAATTGTTTGTATGCTCATATTATCTGAAATATGAAAGTTTTTGTTTTATCGAATCTTATTTTAGGAGCATCATAAAATGTATGCTTCCACTACATAATTAAGAAAATTATCTTCACAGATGCATAGTGGTCATTTATCTGCCTTGAAATGCCCTTTATTCTTTATTGTTTTCCTTTGAGTTGTATTTACATTTTTTCATTACAAATATTAACATCATTAAAGACCTCCTTAAAAGATGTGCAGGATGAAAAAGATCTCTTTCAATAGGTTAAGGGTGGTTTTGCCATCTCACAACTAAAACTTTCTGTACAATATCAGGAAATAGAAAATATTAGAAAATATGACACCCAACATGGTACAGATATAATTTTTTTTAAGCTAAGGACTCACGCATTGTCGTTTACTCTTTGGACCCATTCCCCTCTTTTGAGCTCCTTTCTGGCCAATGTTATTTCATTGATTGGTTCTGCCACCCGCAACGTTGGTTCCAAAGGCTTGTAGCGTTGTTCTAACACTTCAGCGATGTCTCTGAAGGGCCCCTGACAAGAAAGGATGAAGTACATATTTTATTATGGAGGATTTTTCTGATATATGAACGATGACCAAGGCTAGTGAACCTCTCCAAAGTACAGCAAGTTTACTAAATTATTTTTAAAATACAAGTTGTTCTTCTTGAGTTAGAAAATACATTACTTGGCTCGGCGCCTATGGCTCAAGCACCTAAGCCTCCAGCCACATACACCTAAGATTGTGGGTTCAAATCCAGCCCAGGCCCACCAAACAACAATGATGGCTGCAACCAAAAAATAGCCAGGCATTGTGGCAGGCACCTGTGGTCCCAGCTACTTGGGAGGCTGAGGCAGGAGACACACTTGAGCCAGGAGTTGGAGGTTGCTGTGATGCCACAGCACTCTACCCAGGGGGACAGCTTGAGGCTCTGTCTCAAAAAAAAAAGAAAAGAAAAGAAAAGAAAATACATTACATAACAAGAATAATGGTTATATTCAAGAAATTTCCTCTCAAGTAAAATAAACTACATTTAAAATTTTTTTTAATTAAACAAAAGTTCCCCTTCTTACATCAAGACATCTTCATGCTGTAACTGGTAAACTCCTTATCTTTGTTTATGTTATAAATACATATCATGTATTTATTAATATGTGTTTCTGTTGTGTCAACTTGTATATATTCACATAAGTTTATGTTACATGTATTTATGTATTATATGTAACATGCTATAACTAAATTAACTTGTGGTACAGATTGTTTTGTTTTCTAATTTAAAAAGGAAATTTCTTCTAACAAAAAACAACTCTCTCCTTTCTGAATAAATAAAAATATTAGAAAAACATTGTGAGCATAGTTTTTTAAGCACCCTCCTATAATAGAAATAGGAGAGCAAGCTTTTTTAAAATTAAAATTTTTAGGCAAATGCCAAATTTTATATTTAATAATGGCCCCCTAATTTATAAAAGCAATTTTTATCTATTGAAACTGTTCTTTATTTAAAATTTTAAACTCTGTTGTTTCGTTAGTCTGATATCAGTAGCAACCTTACAATGACACAAAATACGTGGGAGAGGAATGTCTATAGCTGCACTGTGAAAAGTAACTTAAAACATGTCCTGCTTTTAAGCTAGTAGTCATTTATACTAGTTACTAAATCCACTGGTTATCTAGGATCATATCAAGCACCGGACAAATCAGAGGCAGCTCAACACTTTGCTGCTGTTAATTGCACACTGTTTTTCCCTGTCACTATTGCATTTGAGAGGAGTAATAGAAAACGGACAGATATTTCTAATCATATTCTGTATTTTTAAAAATTTTTTCTTTAAATAGGTTATCACTAACAAGACACAGCTGGAGTTACCGCAAGCACTGAGTGAAAACTGTGGGGCTAATAAAAAGAAATGATTCACGCCTCATTTATGTTCACTTATGTTTTACATTAATAGAAACCAATAATAGGAACCAGTTACCATAAAAGTCATGGACCGTAAATAACACAAATGGCAAATAAGTATCATCCAGTACTTTTCGCAGCTAGACAGAAGGATTGCTATATTTGAAAGTAGTTAATGGGTTTTTATTGGACTTTACTTTTTAAAGAAACAGTAACATGATTATAAGTCTCCTATTAAGAAATCAAATGGGGATTTTCTTTTCAGATTCTTATTCTTTTACTTTGACAAATTCTATGGTTTAAAAAATTAACATTTTGTTGCATATGTAGTGGCAAATTACTTCTCTAGGCCTGTTATTGTCATATGTAAAATACAATGATAACTGTATCACAAACTGCTCTTAAGATGCAAAGGTAATGTAACATGCTCAGCATTGTACTTAGAATGTAGTAAACACCCCAAATCAGTACCTATTGCATTGTTATTATTAGTTTTAAGAAGAGTTTTAAAAAAATTTTGAACAATGGTCACATCAAAGAAATAAACAGTGGCCCATGCCTATGACTGTGAATATGGCAGCATTCACATGGAATCATGTCTTCCTAGTGG